TATTTATAAATCTAATTCACTGTTGTATTAAAGAGATTATGTATTATGACTAAGAAGGAATGCAAGAATGCTTCAGTGTATGGAAATCAGTCATATAAATATCTCTAACAAAACAAAAGGGGAAACATTATTAATGGCCTTTCTTGATAGAAATGCTTAATACACTGGCAAAGAAACTTCTTCAGATAAATGAATCTACATATAAATATGCTAAAGCAGACATCACACTCAGTGTTTAAAACATTTACCTAAGTATCAAGATTAAGGCAAGAGTGCCCACTTTTCTCACTCTGTACAGCAATAATTCCAAGTATCTTCAGCAGACAGGAAAAAAAATAAATACATAGGAGAGGATAAGGTAAAATTGTGGCTTATGGGTGAATTACTCTGCATGCAGGAAAGTAACAAACAAAGAAACAAAACAAACAAGCAAGCAAACAAAAAAACCCACACAAAAACAGAAAAATCCTAAAACATGCATAAGCACACAAACACAAAACTCTTGGAGCTCCACACAAATTTAGCAATTAACATGCCAGAAAATAAGTACACAAAAGTTAAAGGTTAATGAAGAATAATAGGCCAGGATTTAGATCAGTGGTGCCTCCACCTGCCTCACAAGTGCAAAGTCCAGAGTTCGATTCCCAGTTAAAAAAAAAAAAGAAGAAGAAAAAAAAACTTGTGAAAACTATTCTACATAATATCAAAAAGGTTAAAAATTATGTAATAATTTTAAGGAGGTGAAAGACTTGTACAATGAAAACTACAAACTGTGGTTGACAGAAATTAAAATACAGTAACATTATGTTCATGGGGCTGGAAGACTTAATTATTGAGATGTCAATACTATATAGTACTCCATAGGTGCAAAACAACTGCTACCAAAATTCCAGCCAAGTTTCTTACAGAAATGAGAGCAATCTATCACCAAATTATATGGAATATCAAGAACTGTGAAAAACCAAAAAACAATCTGAAAATCATGAACAAAGTTATAGCTGTCACACTTCCTAATTTCAGGAAGCTATAGTAATCAAACAGGGTGGCAAGGGTATATTTCAGACCCTAGAGATAGAGCAAAGGGATAGAAAAAAATTCTTGCATATACAGAAATCCTCCAATTGTAATTCATTTTGAGGAAGGGGTCAAAAATGGGAGAAAGAAATATTAAAACTAGACTTCTACACACACACAAAAAAATTTGAGATCCTAATTGACATGAAAAAACTAACTACACTTAGACCAAAGACTTAAACATATGCATTAAAATTGTAATATTTTAAGAAAATATGGGAAAGTCTTTATAATTGGACTTAATGAAAATATTTTCAATACATTCATATAACAAGGAATTCACATTTGTTACATATCAAGAATGTCTACAACTCAGTAACAATAAAAGCAAATGACTTTAAAATGGGCAAAAGTTTGGAATACAAACTTTCCAGAGAAGGAATATTAAATTAAAACCACAGTGAGATATACCTTGTTACCTATCTGAATGAATATTGTCAAAACAACTAATAAATATTCTTGAGATTGTGGAAAAATTAGAAACCTTTTGGTTTTTGGTAGTAATGCAAATACAAGTGCTGCAAAAAAATTTAAATGTTTTTATAATTCAATATATTGTGACATACATCCATATTCATAAAACCATTATTTGTGAGTCAAAATTTAGAAGCAACCTAAGTGTGTAACAATAAATACATAATCCAAACCTTGGCATGTACATTTGTTAAAATATCATTCAGCCTTAAAAAGAAGAACGTTTTGATACAAACTGTAAACATGGAAAAACTTGAAAATACTGTTAAAGTGTTCACCAAAGCCCACAATGTATGATTTTATTTAGATAAGACATACCAAATAGTTACAAAGTCAGAAAATGAATGATTGACATAAAACAATAGAAGGGATAAAGGGGTATTTGTTATTTAATGGGTACAGAATTACAGTTTGGTTAGATAAATTATAGAGACAGATGACACTGACAAACATTTAGAAGCAATTTATTATAAGCACATGAATTTTTTGTACATTTTACTCCTATAAAAAAACCTTGCAGTATAGGGATTAATTTTTCCTAATATGCCTTCTTCTGCATCAAACATCTTTCACACTAGGGGCTACCAAGAATAATGCTGTTAATAGTAAAGAATATTCAAGTCACAGACCTCTGAGAAAACTGGTAACATTGAGGATCCATTTCACCAAAATAAAATAGTAAGGATTTTTAATAGTTTGAATGAAAGTAACTACAAAATCAGTTCTGTCTTTAGTGTATATAAATATTAACTCTTAGAAACCACAGATTTAGACATAAATATGAAGATTTTAGAAACAAAAAAAGAAAGAAAAGCTGCTCTCAATTAAGAAAAAAATATGACAAATTTATAAAAGGTAAAAAAACATAAATGAAGTTAGCATAAGATGATTAAATAGGATTTTTAAAAAACTATACAAAGTGTGAAGAAGTAAGTGGTTGATGGTTACGAATTTTCAAGAATTATGAAAGCTGGAATTCTTGGATTAAGAAATTCCATGAATCCTCAGGAGATTAAAGAAAAAGTGATATACACCAATTAAATCTGCAATACATAAATACAAACAGATCTTACAGCAGCCAAGGGGAACAGAGATTATTGTATTTCTACTGAAATGTAAGACTCAGAGTTGACTACTAAAATCTAGAAGCCCCCAAAATTTTTAATAATTTTAATTTTTGAAAGTTCCAACTTTTTAAGAATAAAGGTACAAATAAATACATCCTAGTAAAATAAAGTAATTACCAAATCTCTCTAAGAAATGTCTAAAGAATTTACTTTAGAAAAAAATAGCCAGTAGTAAAAGAGATATAATTTGAAAAAATGGTAAGTTGAACAACAGTAATGAAAAAGCAAAACAAAGGCAGGGGATTTAGCTCAGTGGTGCCAACACCTGCCTTGCAAGCTGAAGGTCCTGGAGCTTGAACCTTAATATCAGAAAAACAAAAACAAAAACAAAAAAAAGTAAACTTGGATACATCTATGTGAAACTTGCAAATATGTGTATGTGAAGTTATGAGCAACAACAAATGTGCTAATTTTCAAAGCACAAAACTGGTCAAAGAAGCCAAATAGAAAATGATTAAATATGTACCTTAGGAATATTTATGTATTAAATGGTACAAAAATTTTTCAGAATATTATAATTAATTCCAGACAGAAGGTCCTTTTGGGCTTAGTGGGCACCTATGAGTCCTGGAAAAGCATGTAGCTACTGGTAATCATGTTTGAACACATTAGTTCTGAGGTTCAATGAAGACTTAATAATCTATTTTGTAGTCAGAAATTTAGCTTAGTGGTTCTGCCACCTGCCTTGCAAGCACAAGGTTCCAAGTTCAATCCCCAGTATCCCTCCGAAAAAAAACAAAACAAAAAAATCTATTTCATATTAATTTTTATAACTGACACAGGAACTATGTGCATTCTCTGTGATTTCAAAATGTCATTAATTTTGTTCAATTTCAAAAAGTCAGAAGTATTACCAATGAAGAGTATAGGTAATTCCCTAAATCTGTATTAACAATTTTCCTTAGTACACTTAAAAAAAAAAAACCTAGGCAAAATGTTATCTGTATAACTGTTAGCACATGTATAGTAGCAAATATATATATGTATTTCCATAAACAGTTCAACAGTATAAGTAACATCAATCCAGGACGAACCCTTCTAAATATTTTACCCACATGTTAGCCAAACTATCTACTTTATCAAAACAGTACTTTTTCTATCTAGATCATCTCTCTCACAAAACAATCTAAACACAAAGCTAATTTTTTTTTTTTAACAAAATAGGAATCCTTCCTCATTTTCTAACAAAAATTATTTAAGGATAATTACCTTTTGGCTTCCTTTTTCCAAATACTCTGGTGTTTTTAGAATTATATACTTAGAAATTTCTAATGTACTGTAATATAGCCTCAATACAAGAAATTGTTTTGTGATAAAGGATGAAACTACTGGTTTCTGTATTATTTCTTGAGTTCTACACACACACACACACACACACACACACCTAAAACTTATCCTGATACTTATCACATTTTTTCAAATTATAAATATAAACAAAGTGGTCACAATGCAGCAAGGGTTAGGATAAGTGAAGTTGACAGAGCACAAGGCCTGAACAGTTAACCTAAAGTAAAATACAAGTAGAGGTTTGTGTGAGTTAACATACCAGAGAGGTGGGAGAACTAACTTAATTAAGCAAACTGTCAATACCTAATGGAATGCAAAGTACAAAATACAGGTCCCTAAAAAATAGGAGAAAGGTTAGAGGAATTAAAACAAAAGTGATGCATCTTGCCTTGAGGATGTGCAAAACCTATGTGCAACCAAGAGCATCCTTGCAATTGTTTCATTCACCCCTATCAAAAATTGTATAAAATGCCAATGGACTCAAACATCTCTGCTATACACCTAATGGAACACCATTCCCCAACTAGTGGGGAAGTTTTTTTTTTATTCTTTTTAATGAATGCATCTTGCCACTTCTACTGTTTGCTGTTTTTTCTGCTTTAGTCTTCACTGCCCCAAGAAAAGGAATTATCATGACAGCTGTCTAAATTCACCTGATCACCCAAAAGGTACTAAACATCACATCTTTTGTTTTGTTTTGTTTTGTTTTTTTAAGTCAGGGTCTCACTATGTAGTTGAGACTGACCTGGAACTCATTATGTAGCCCAGGTTGGTATCACAGCGATCCTACTGCCTCAGCTTCCCGAGTGCTAGGATTATAGGCATGTACCACAATGCCCGGCTTTAAACCTCATACTTTAAAAAAAAAAGTTTTCAATATATAATTACATTTATCTTAGGTAATATATATCATCTCAATTTTTCCCCACCCCCACCCCATATCCTTAACATGTGAAAACTGTATTATATGGGAGAACATGAAGAGGACTTTATGACCAAAATGATTTTCCTGTTTATATAAATTGCCAACCATATTACCTCTTCTTCAGGGGATAAGTTCTGCTTGCTACTGCGGACAGGAAAGCCACTGCCAAATTCTTTCGAATGAATGTCTGCTCCATACTCAACTGTCACATCCTCCTCAATACTGCTCACTAGCCTCCAGAATTCCTTCTCTACAACTTCAGTAGGCACCATCTATGAAAGCAAGTAAAAAGATAATCCTTACTCACTATTGTGTTCCTGAGAAAACCAAGACAATCAGACAATAGTCCCTATCACTTCAGCCCTATCACATACATGTACAGGCATGTTGAAGTAGTTAGCCTTGAAGGAATCAGCCATCTCACCAAAACTCTGCAAAGTGTACTCCTGGGTAGCCTGCTCAAAACCAAAAGTTTCAGGGGGTCGCTTACACTCCTAAAATAAAAGACAAATAAAAGTCAAAGACTACAAAAAGGAGTGCCAGGGATGAGAAAGAAGTTTCTTGACATTGCATTCAATACTTTATGCTGTAAGTCCATACTTTCTTTTTCCAGATAAGAAATTTTCTTAAATATCTACTGAACATTTTTCTGTATGTCCCTGTGGTTCACACCATCTGAATTATCTAACATCCTTTCTTTCTGCTTAAGTCTTGGTCATGTCTATCTAGTCTATTCTTGTTCACCCAAAATCAAAATCTATTCAGAAAACAGCAGAAACTACTTATTTTAATCTTCCTTAAATCAAGAAGGACAGAACATTTACTAAGAATTAAAATTAAAATATCTACGATGGAGAAACTTTACCGCCAAAATACACTTTGGGCATTTCCATATCCCTTTGGGGATTTCAGCAACGGGTGGCAATAGGCAGAAGATGTGGTAATTGTCATTACAGCCATCACAGAATAGAAGCTTATCATCTTCATCCCTTCGGGAACATATTCGACAAATGAATGAATCAATCTACCAGCAAAAAATAAAAATGTAAAATACAAGGTGCTTGCTCCATAAAATTTAGTCTTAGCATTCTAAATCACTCACTCTTAATGACTTACCACTATCAAATGTTTTACCTGTGAATTTGTTACTGTTGGAAAATAGAACAAAATATAAATAAGTATAAAGTAGTGTATGTTAATAAATCAACTACATGTAAACTCTTTGAAAGCAGCCACAAAAATATTGCATAGAATAAGTGGTACCTACCAAAAGCATAAAGATTTAAACCATCAGAGATCACTTACAGAATTTTGTAACATTTAAAATAACTGACACAAATGGAAAGATAAACTAAAAGGTTAAGTGACTCAATAACTAACCACTTATACCCATATTCCTTGAGTCCATTTTTATTCTAAACATGCCTAGCTTAGACAATGAATTACTGAAACAATCAGTTTTAAGAATAAACATTAAGGATATCTTAACTTGGATTCATAGACTTTACTGAAAAAAATGTAGTGCTGCTGGGGATTTAGCTCAGCGGTTCAGTGGCCTGCCTCACAAGCGCAAGGACCTGAATTCGATCCCTGGTACCAAAAACAAAACAAACAAAAATACAGTGCTAATTCTGAGATAAAAAAATAAAATAATAGGCCACTCAGGCAGAATGTTTGTGATCCATTGCCTTGGTGGAACTGGACTTGTGGGCTGGTCCCCAAGTGACTTTGAAACTGGATTCCACACCTTGGCTGAGCTACCAACAATTTGAAGCTGGCTTTATGATGTTTCTCCCCTTCTTAGACAGCAGAAATGCTAGCTAAACAACAGACTTGCTTTCTGTCAAGAGAAAAGTCTGGAATGGGGATTCAAGATGGCTGCCTAGAGAAGGAATCACATCACACAAGGTGAAGAAAGATCTATTGAGAAGGATGGATGTGGAAGAGTCAGGGTCAGTTGGAACCTGTAAGGAAAACATGGGATTACTGCTCCCAGAGTAACATTTCACAATCAACAGCTGGTAAGTGACCTTAGTCCACAGCCTCACAACACAAGAAACAAGAGTTGGTGGGAATGCAATTATGGTAAATGGTCATCATTGGAACCTGGGTCACCAAGCATCTCCTTGGCTCCAAGCCATGCTCCATCCAGAGTGGATGAAGGATAGCCAAAGGACGAAGCTAATCATTGGAGAACAGGCTGGAGGGATTGCAGCTGAGGGGTTGGAGCTAGTGAACATAAACCTGGCTTGTGCAAGTGGAGGCCAGGTTCATCCTGAGTTACACAGGATTGGAAAGTCACACTGGCACCTTGTTTCCACTGTGTGTGGATGTTTGCATCCAGCATCATTCTGGGGATGGACTGCCACCTTAGAATTCCAGTGTGAGCAGAATTATGCCTTCGTTTTGAGCTTTGGTCCTTATTTATTTATTTTTTCTATTTTCCTCTTTCTGTTCACCCTATCACCTCCACTTTTATTATATTATTTGTCCCTTTAAGACTGTGTGTGAGTATATGTGTTTCTATTCATCTTGTCCTTTTCTTACAATATAGTTTATAGAATTTTCCCATCCTTTTTTATTCCTCTACTTACTACTGGTTTCTACCCAGTTTTTTGTATTTTCCCATCCAAATACATAACATGTCTCTAATATCATGAGGCCCCTTTGCCCACCCTCCTATTTCCTTCTTTCCATACCACACAGCAGATCTTCTTAAAAAACTCTTCTTTTCTTTCCCCCAGTCTGGTATTACCTAGTCCCAAACTCTCCGAACTTTAAAAAACGGATTCTATAAAATTATTGCTACCACAGGGCATACTAGTTGTAGGCCAATAATTGGGCTATTATAATGGTTACAATATAACTAGATTTCTTCTCTAGGCAAAAAGGAGATACAAAGTTGGTTTCCTTGTATGCTGTCAACTTGCCCAAATACATACCACTGTAACTGATCAGCTTGTTACTACTCTAGCTGATTTGGCTGTACAATTTAACTGGTTCACTTGCAGTGACCTGGTCTGCTGATTCCACCATCACACCCAGGGAGAGGGACAGTAAGAGTTCCTAACTCAAGAACTAGGATTGGATCAGACTCTTTAGGGATGACTGCAACCTGGCAGAAAGAATCCCTGAGTGTGACTTATCTTCAATATATATCCGAAGAAGTACTGGAGTGTAAGCACCCAAACTCCCTGGCAAGAAGCTACATGTGAATCACATGCTCTGTCTCAATGGAACACATAATCTGTGTTCCCATTTGGATCTTAAGAGTTTTTGTTTTTCTTGATTTAATTATTAGTGTGAGGTTATGCTATGTTCCTTTATTAGCTTTTAACTTTTTTGTATTTTTTCCTCCATTGGCTCTGATTTAATAGGCATCTAGATTTTTTCCTTCCTCTCAGTTCCAATCTATGTTCACCTCCTCAAACCCCCAAACTAAATATACTAATATATTTCTTTATTCTTTTTCTAAATACATAAATTCCTCCTGCTAGGTTTTAATTTTCAACATTTAGTCATACTTAGTACTGACTCTGTCACTCCCTCTCTATTATTTTTCCTCCAACCTCACCATTCTAAGCTTTTGCACCTCTCATTGCTTTCCTGGCCAATCATCCTTTTTATCAGTCAACAGGTTCTGACACTAACATGGCTTCCTTCAATCACAAAGTAAACTTCCTTTCTCCCATATCTTACGCTTGCCCCCATACATATCCTAAGAAAACTTTCAATATTAATCCTTCAACTCAACTAAAGGGAAAGTACTAGAATCAGAACTTACATCAACCATTTCTTCTCATCTGTCACTATCCCATCTTACAAACCTGCTGCTTCATGTCTTTTACTCCTCACCAAACCATCTCCATTCTCCTCCCTTCATTTCACCTATCTCTTGCAGAGCAATCACAAATAATACACATTAGAGTGTGCAAAAAGGATAAACAAAGAGGAAAAGTAAGTCAAAAGACTATCATGCAGAAATGTTGTATGACTGAATCTGTTGTTGCCATATATGCTTTTTTGTATCTTTTGAGATGATATTTATATTCTAAGCTCTGTTGATATGGTATATTACATTTACTGACTTACATATGTTGAACCAAGCCTTCATTCCTCAGATGAATCCTACTTAGTCTGTGTCTAATATTCTTGATGATTTGCTGCATGTTTGCCAGAATCTTACTGAGGACTTTTGCATCTAAAACTAGATACTTGTCTCTTACCATGCACTAAACTAAAATCAAAGTGGATCAAAGATCTAAATATTAAAATAGAAAGGAAGAACAGAGAATAGGTAGAACACTTAAAACCAGAGAAGTATGGGCAAAAATTTATGAACAAAATCCTGATCTCATGGGAGATACTACAAAGAATCAACAACTGGGTCTCATCCTTTTAAAAAAGCTTTTCCACAGCACAACAAATCATCAGCAAAGTGAAAAGACAGGCCACAACAGTGGGAAAAAAATTTTCCAAGCTATTCCTCAGACAAAATATTAATATGTAAAATACATAAAGAACTCAAAAAAACACTTCTCATTTAACACCCAATTAAAAAGCTGGGTATATAAAATGAAGATATATTCTGAGATGAATAAAATCTTCAACATCACTGATATCCAAGAGATGCAAATTAAAACAATGCTAAGATTCATTCTCACTGTAGAAAGAATGGCCATTATCAAGAAATCAAATAATAACTAATACTAGAGAGGCTGTGGTGAAAAAATAACTGTTAGTGGGAGTGTGGACCAGTGCAACTACTGTAGAAATCAGCACAGAGATTCCTGAAAAACTAAAACTAGACATTCCATTTGGCCCAGCTCTTCCACTTTTTGGAGTCTTCCTCAAAGTACCTACTTGCCCCAGATATACAAAGATGAAAATTGCTCATGGGGAAGCATCATACTACTCAAAATCTCCCTACAAAGCAGTAGCTCTCCACAACAAGGAGTACTCACCTGACCCCCAAAAAAGGGGGAAAAAAGAGAGGACACGTATATAAAGGTTCACAGATGAAGAATGAAACAAACTCCACATAGCAGCAAAATTCCATGAAAAGTTCATAGAAGGGGTGAAAAAAAGAAATAAGTTCAAAGAAGAAATAAATCAAAACGTCACAGCAATTTCACTACATATACCCATAATGAAATTCAGAAAAACGGGTAAAAAACTAGATAATCTAACAAAAAAGATAGTTCAAAATTTGAAAAAAAGATTAAAAAAAGACACAGAATCCTTGAAAAAATGTCAGAAAGACCTATCATAATGATCTACATAAAATTCATAAACCGCAGAAACAGCCAATATAAAGATAGAACTCCAGGTAGCAGCAGAATTCCATGAACACAATGAATTATGATAAACAACTCAAAGAAGCCAAAAAGAAAATAAAAGAAAAGGAGAATTACCTAACAACTACTACACAACAATAGTAAGATTAATCTAAGGCTAATAGAAATTAAAAAAAAAATAAGAAGATAGCACAGGTGGATTAACTAGTAGGTTTAGAGAACTGACAGAATAAAATTTCTCAAATATAAGAAAAGAAGTTGAAAGAAAAGCAAGTGTTGCTTATAGAGCACCAATTGTCATCATGGTATATCCTTATTAAATTACCACATATCCACCCAAAATATAGAATTTTAAAAGTAGCCAAATACAAACAAAAAAAGTCACATATGAAGGTAAGCCAATTAGAATCACAGCAGTTGTATTAGCACAAACCCTGAAGAGCAGAAGAGTTCAAAGTGAAGTACTTCAAGCCCTAAGAACAGATAATTTCCAACCCAGATTAACATACTTATCTATCCTTCAAAATAGATGGAGAAGTAAGATATTTTCAAGAAAAAGACCAGCTCAAAAGATATATAAATGCTAAGCCAGCTCAATATAAAATACTTCAGAATATTCTCAACTGAAATCATGAAAAGGACAAAGCTAAAAACACAGAGAAAATTAAGTCAAATGAATAAACACCAACAAATACTGTCAGAAAAAAAAAGGATTCTCCAACAGATAAAGAAGATGATGATTACGAACACATCTTGGTAATATGTCTCAATGTTAATGGCCTCAACTCTTCAATTACAAGACCTATATCAACAGACAGGATTAAAAAACAGTATCCAACAACCTGTTGTATTGCAGAAACTCATCCAATCCAAGAAGATATTCACAAATTAAAAATTAAAGAATGGAAAACAACATTTCACACACCAGAACCTCAAAAACAGCAGGGGTAGCAAATCTAATATCAGGCATGGTAAATTTCAGGCTAAAATTGATTAGAAGAGATAGAGAAGGTCACTATCTAATAGTTAAGGAAACAATCCAGTAAGAGACAACACTGATAAATGTATATACGAAGAATACTGGATCACTTATCTTCATAAAACAACAGCTGCTATAATTAAAAGATCAAATAAACATTAACATATTCCTAAAAGGGAATTTTAACACCCTTCTTCTGCAATGAGATACAGTAACTAAGCAACCACAACAAAATGTATCAGAGCTGAACCACACTGCTGAACAGATTTAACAGATATAGAGAAAATATTATACACACACACACACACACACACACACACACACACACAAAGATATATAGAAAGTATCCACTTGTTGAGTACATTCTTTTCACCAGCACATGACACTGTCCAAAACAGATACATAATAGTTGCCCAAAACCAGCTTAAGTAATGACAAAAGAACTGAAATTACTCCATGTATACTACCAGACCACTACGCAATGCAAATAGAAATCAGACACAGAAGAAATGGAAAAAGCAAAAGCTCCTAGAAAATTAACAACATACTCCTAGTAAACAATGGGTCAGGGAAGAAACAGAAAATATTTAAACCATTTCTGGGAGTTAATGATAATGAATGTACAACTCAATGAAACCTATGGAACACTATGAAAGCTGTTTTAAGAAAAAAATTCAGTGTAGTCAATGCTCACATTAAAAAAAAAAAACAAACAAACAAGCCTAAATGAATAACCTTATGAAAAATCTGAAGTTACTTGAGAAAGAACAAACCAGCCCCAAACTGAAATTGAATAAAATTATAAAGAAAGGACTTTATGAACTGAGAAAAAAAAAAAACGATAAAAAAAAAAATCAACAAATAGAAGAGCTGGTTCTTTAAAGTAATGAATAAAATACATAAACCTTTTATAAAGATTCACTAAGGGTAAGAGAAAAGACTCACATCAATGCAATTAGAAATGACAAAATTGAAATCAAAAGAGACATTGTCGAAATCTAGAAGATAATTGAAAAACCGTATTTCAACAGATTAGCAAATTTTGAAAAAAATGACTTATTCCTAGACACACACAAACTCAAAATTATAACCCAAGACAAAATATACCTAAACCAATAGAAAGCAATGAAATTCAGTAATAAAGAATCAATCGACTATAAAAATCCAATACCTAATAGATTCACTGCTGAATTCTACAAAACATTTAAGAATATTATAGTACCAATACTCCATAAGCTCTTCAAAAAAAACTAAAAGCAATGGAATGTCCCCAATTCATTTATGGAAGCCAATATCGCCCTGATACCAAAAACAGATAAACAGATCCAGAAACCAGATAAAGAGAGAACTGCAGTACTCTGAAGCGGGAGACTACAGGGATACCAGAAAATGTAAAAGTATGATACGCTGATGGATAAGCAAAACTAACATTGTCAAAATGGCCTTATTTCCAAAAGTGTTATTTAGATTCCATGAAATCCTAATCCAAATAACAGCAGCATACTTTACAGATATAGAGAAAATAATTGCAAAGTTCATATGGAGCCAGAAGAGCATCAAAAGTTATTATGGGTAATAAGAGCAAAGAAGGAGGTACACCAATGTCTGGATTCAAGCTATACTGCAATGCAACAGTGATTAAAAACAAAAGTCATATTGGAAGAAAAAAGATACATGGAGCAACGGAACACAACTAAGGAAACAGAAACTTTTACAGTAATATTTAACTATTTGATTTTTGACAAAGGTAACAAAAGCATATGGTGGAAGAAAGATAGCCTATTCAACAAGGCGGTGTGGGGAAAACTAGTTATCTGTTTGCAGTAAAATGCTTTCTGCTGGAGTAGAAATCGGAGAATACATTTTGAGGGACAGTCTAGTCTAAATGTTAAGATAGGAATTTTGCTCTGACTCTAACACCTGAATAATTCCCCTTCCCTTCCTGAACATCTCAATAGGTCAAAGTAATGTTAAAGATCACAGGTGAGTACTTACCAACATGGTACTGCCATGATTCTTTCTCAGCCTCATAGTCATCTTGGGGCAGGGTTCTGGGCTGTGACTTAAGTCCTTGTTGGACAATGCTGGTGCCACTTTCCCACCCTCAGTGGGTTCTTTCTGGACCATAACAAGAGGAGGGCACGTGACTCCTTTATCTGTGGGCATCAGAACTAAGTCTGAATATAAACTACTTTTCCTGCCAGGAGAATCAGTGACCCATATTTCCCACGGTATTTCAGTATTTCAATACTCACAATATACCAGTCTATCAAAACTTACCTTTCTTCTGCAAAGTCTTATCCTTAGCCATGAGACCCAAACCCATCATCTTCGGACCTGCCCCATATATTTGTAGCTTCTTTAGCTCTGGATTTTTCTCAATGTCCTCTTCTGTGGGCTCTGGCTATTAAGAGAAGGTTCAAATGAGAATACAAGCTTTACACCATAGAGATGAAATTATTTTACAAGCAAAATCTAGACTTCACTGTTTACAAAATATCCCAGATCCCATAAAAAGCAGAAGATATTATATAGTTTTAAAGCAGAGCAGCTCTCTTCCCTTTTTTGAAATATGTACTAAACATGAATTTTTACCTGTGGGTAAGGTACAACCAGGCATGAATAAATGAAAAGAAAAATTTGGAAGGGGATTCCTTTCAGTTTTTGTTATGTTATAAAAGAGATGGTATAATTCACTTTGACCAGGCTAGCAATGATTAAGTATTTCAGTTCTATAAACTTACAGTAGAAAAGACAATAAATCTGAGTAAGTTCCTGCAATTACATAAAATAAATGGTGATATACGAGGATTCTTATTCTGTTGGAATCCACATCATTAGAAATACAACTTCCCGACAGTGAAATAAAAAGATGGAAAAATGAAGCCTATTATGCAAAAACATATCCTAAATTATATATATGTATGCTATATAATTTATCATATTCAGCACATATATTTTTTCCAATGGGTCTTATAAGATTTATTCTTGTGTATCAAAAAGTGTTCTATTATCAAATTAACCTGATTATATTTGTCTTCTATATTTAACATTGAAGTTTTATTCCTAAATTCCTTTACATGTACATTTTAAAAATGTCTACATAAACTTTCTTCTATAAATATATATGTATTGAAATACACATTGCAGTTTTTGTTTTATTCCATAGTAATTTATTCAACACTAAAAATATTTCAGTGGCACTAGATTCTTTATTTCATCACAGAGTTATTTCTGTGAGAACAGTTTTCTACTATTTCAAAGATTTGACAAGGGAAGAATACATTGAAACATCTTCCATAAGCCAGATAATACTGTGTTACCAAAACTAGATAAGCACATCACACAGACACATTTACACAGACCAAAACTCTGGAGAATACAGAATATAATAGTTATACAAGTAAAAATTATCAATAAAATGCTCGCAAGCAAGATAAAACAGTATATTAAAAAGATTCACAATGATGAGGCTGGTTTCATTTCAGTGATGGAAGGATGGTTCAATATATGAAAATCAATAAGTCTAATACATAACAGCAACAGAATAAAGAATATAAATTACATAAGCAGCAAATTACATGTGTGGATCCCAGGCCTTCCTCAACAGCCAGCATCTCCAAACTTTTCCACATTCCAATACAAATTATATAGGATATCTTTATAGGGGAAGAAAAAGTATTTGATTTAATTCAATATACCTTTATCATGAAAGTACTCAGTAAATTAGGTATAGAAACATCAAATACTTTAATAAGTAAAGGTTATATAATGACAAAATCCATTACCAACAATGAGATGACCAGGAAAAACTGAAGGAATTTCCTCCAAGACCAGAAAGTTTGCTCCAAGACCAGAAAGAAGATATGGGTACACACTTTCAGTGCTTATTCAATATTGTACTATAAGTTTTATTCAAGAAGGTGATATTTTACAAGGCGAAAAGAAAAAATATAAAGGAAACAAATGGGAAGGAAGTCAAATTATCTGTATGATATCCTATACTTAGAAAATGTAGGGGCCAGGGATTTAGCTCAAGGTACTGAGTTTGATCCCCAGTACCAGGGGGAAAAAATAAGAAGGAAAACCAGAAAACCTAGAATTCAGAAAGCTAAAAAAGCCAGGAAGGTAGATCATTTGAGGAAAGGCACAAGAGTGAAGAAGGCTGACTAGAGAAAGAGGCCACGAGAGCTATAACTACAGCCAGTGTCATAGGAGAAGGGCTACCCAAGGACTGTGGAGTTCACATCTGGCCAGATTTAATATTTGCACTGCTGGATTTTGCTTTTGCTTTGATGTCTTTCCTTTCTACCTTTTAAAATGGGCATAGTTTTACTGTGCCATTGTATATTGGAGGTATTTGGGTTTTTTTGTTTGTTTTTTTTCATTTGTATAGGAGCTTACAGCTAAGAGTTTGCCTTAGATATCAGCAAATTCAGGAGACTCTGGACTTGGGTTAGATGGATTAAATGTATTTTGCATAAGGGCACTGCATGGGTCTCTTGTGGGCAAGGGAAGGAATGTTATGTTTTATATCTGGATGTATTCCCAAAGTCTCAAACTCTTATAGGTGGGGCTTTGGGAGGAGACTGAACTTTGGTTGAGTGACACTAGATCATGGGTATGTACTGTTTTTTTTTTTTTTTTTTTAATTCCCTTTCTTTGGTACAAGGGATGGAACTTGGGACTTGTCCTTGCAAAGCAGGCAGTGGATCCACTGAGCTAAATCCCCAACCCAGTATACTGTTTTAGTTCACGGATGATAGCTAGGTGACACGCTGCGAGGTGAAGACTAGTGGGAAGAGTTGGGCCGTGGAGGACATGGTATGGGAGAGTGTTTATATACATCATTCCTTCTCCATGATGTTTTTCTGCTTCGTGCTTGCCACGTCATGAATCATTTCTCTTCCCCTATGCCTCCATGTCTTGCAGCAGGCCAACTATGGACTGAAATGTCTACAAACTGAGGTTAAAAAAAAAAAAAAACAAATGCTTTCCTTCTTAGTTTAAAGGTGTCAGGTATTTTGTCCAAGCAGTGAGAAGTAACTAAGAAAACTTCACACTTGTCCTAACTCCTTTCTCAGAGAGAAGCCCCTTGAGCAATACGTTTGCAAACCAGGGCACTAGAGAAAATTAAAGTCAGAGAATCATTAAGGTCTAAGACTGGTGGGCCCCTGAAAATCAAGAAACAATAGCAATGTTGCTAGTGGCCTGAAACTACACATTGAGATCTACAGGGCAAATGAGTCACAAGGGTATGCAACAGCTGAGACCAGTATGATCACTGGAGAACTAGAATACTGCCAAAACAGGTACTCAACCATCACTCAAACACAAGTGAGTGTTGTGCCAAGGGGATATGCTGCCTGTCACCTGAGAACTCAGTACCAATGAAAGAATTATCTCCAAGCCAGGCAAAGTTGAGCTCTAGCCACCACTGGGTTTGCAGCATATACAGTGACTTCTATAGGGTAAGGACAGGAAGTCTTGCACTGGCACAAAGCCAGAGAGGAGTGGTATAGCTTATACCTGTCAGCTCTCTTATTTAGAACAGCATCCTAAGTGCATACTCAGAAGCTGCAGCCATTATCAAAATAAGGGAAAGGGGTGGAGACTGAGAATGCCTCTTCAGAAATCAGTGCAAGTCTATGTGCTTACCAGTCACTGCGCTCTTCTTCTTTTGACAAACTCAAAAGTATCCAATCATAAGCTAGGAGCAAAAACTCCAGCTTGCCATAAGCACAGAAGCACAATTTAGATCAAACAAAAAACTACCTACAGAAGAAATGAGATGCAGACTCAGTCCTTCTAAAGCCACCACCTTACTACACACACATATATATTCGCAGGTAGGCAATTTCTAGGAGAGAAGAAAGCTCAATCACTGTCTTCTAGACTAAAATTCAATGGGCAGAAGTTGAGATTCCCATGACTGCTACAAGTCAACTTTCTCCATTTGAGAGTGTAAAGGGAGAAAGGAGTCAGCACACTGATATAATTACAACTGTTTCTTTCTCTTATTCCATTTTGCATATTTAAGTGATGCAAAATAGATATGTGGGAAAAGGTAAAATAACAATTATTGGCGCTTCAGGTAAAATACTATCTCTCCTAGGCATGTCAGGTTACTTTCACCAAGAATTATATAGAGAGGATAAAAAGAGAAACTATCAGTATATTAATTGGGCTCAACCTTCCCACAGCTTTCTGTAAATTTCCAATTATATTGGCTCTCTTTCTTTCTTTTTCCTACCCAGGCAAATAACCTCTCAAACATGCTCTCAGCTACTCCTCCAGTAAAGATACAAAAATATTATCTATGAAGCTCCATCTCTTTTCTTTCATATGCAGGTCTCATTTTTTTCTTCTTTCTAAACTTATTGTTTTCCTTTCTTCCTCCCTTTTTATTTATTTTATTTTATTTTATTTTTTGGAGGGTACTAGGAATTAAACTTGGGGCCCTGAACTTGTGAGGTAGGCAGTAGCACCACTGAGTAAATCCCCAGCCCTCTTCCTCCTTTTTTTATCCCTTATTCTCTTATGTCTCACCTTATTTGTTACAAGTACTGGATCAGTCTTTCCAGGTTATTAAAAATGTGTGACATGGTAATATCTTAAATTAGATGAGTTATATACAGTTGTATATATCTGCAGTATAACCAGTAGTTGTTCTCTCTTTACAATGTAATTGATACTATTATGTTGAGTAGTTTGAAAAGATGTATAAATATACATTTGATCCCCCAAACCCTTACAAAAACAAACAACAGCAACAAAAACCAAATGTAACCAAAGACAAGGTTACATTACAGGGAAACATACACTAAATAGATCTAAACTAAACCAACAAGATTTTTTTTTTTACTTATATGATTCACAACCCTCAGTACAAAAACAATAGAAATATGAGGAAAGGCAACAAAGTATTTACAAAAACTCTTTGCTTGCCAAAAGCAGATCCCATTGTTGGTACTGAAATAAAGAATGATACAGGCAAAGGTTCAAAAAACAAATAGTTAAAATGAGAGGATCGAGAAAGAAATACATTCACGGAGGTTCAGTGAGCTCAAACAGGATAAATAGATGAAGGATTCAATTAATAAAATGTTAAATGGGCTTAAAGACACAGAGCTGATTGAATTAAATAATAATAATGATAATAGTAATAATAATGATGATGATAAGAATAACAACCATTTAAGAAAAGAACTGGGATCATGAAAAGAAATCAAGTGGAAATCCAGGATAAAAAAAATTTCACTGAAAGCATGAGCAGCAGAAAAAAAACTCTGTTAATCATGTATCAGTGATACACTAAAATGTGAGACCCACAAAAGCTGGATCCATTATCTTCTACGTAACAAAAGCTAAACCATTAAAAAAAAAAAAACTCATAGGAAAATG